GGGTAAAAGCCAGTTGGTTGGGAGATCTAACGTGGTCTGTTTTGCATTAAAGCTCAGTTATCACTCGGGGCAGGTAACCCTGAGCCTGGAAACTCCGCGAACTCTTCCTAAGCTGTGAGTCCGCTCAGGTCACTGACTGGCTTTCATCTTGGTTTCCATTTATTCAGCTCCTGGGGGTCCAGCCGTCGGCCCTGCTGGAAGCTCTCACCCACAGGAAGATTGAAGCCCAAACCGAGGAGGTAACGACGGCTCTGGGTGGGACACGCCTGTTCTCTCCTCCGATGCAGCCAAGTGTGGTGGCCCCCAACCCTGCCCACCAGGTCCTGCCTGGCCCAGCTCCTGCCAGCATCTCCTGCCTTAACTTCCTCTCCCCCCAACGTCACACGGTTGCCAGCTCGCTCTCCACGCCCCACTGTCGCCATGCCTTCCCTCCACTGGGTCCTTGCACATGCTGTTCCCTCTGCTGGAACACCCTTCCCTGTGTTTCCTTTGGTTGACTCCTGCTCCTTCAGTTCCCAGGTCACTTCCTGCTCATGCCCCCCTGCCCTAGAGCAGTGGGTGCATCTCCTTAGAGCACTTGTCACTCTCAGCTTGAGAACAACATGACTCTTCTTTGTGTGACTTATTTTTTTTAATATATTTTTTTTTATTGAGAGAGAGGAAGGGAGAGGGATGGAGAGATAGAAACATCAGTGAGAGAGGAACATCATCGATCGGCTGCCTCCTGCAGGCCCCCGACTAGGGATCAAGCCCGCAACCCGGGCATGTGCCCTGACTGGGAATTGAACGGGCAACCCCATGGTTCCTGTGTTGATGCTAACTGCTGGGCCACACCAGCTGGGCTGTGTGACTTATTGACTGTGCCCCCCTCCCCAAATGTGAGCCCGGCCCACAAAGGCTGGCCCTGTTTGTCTTGGTCATGGCTGTATCTCATGAGCTCAGCACGGTGCCTGCCACTCCAGCAATAGCTGCTCGGTGCACGTGTGCAGGACCCGGGGGTAGCATCCTCCCTGGGGTCATCATTTAAGGCTAATTTGAGCCCTGGCTGTGGCTCAGATGGTTGGGTGTCGTCCTGTGGACCAAAAGGTTGCCGGTTCAATTCCCCATCAGGGCACATGCCAGGGTTTTGGGCTTGATCCCCAGTAGGGGGCGTGCAGGAAGCAGCTGATCAATGTTTCACTCTCACATCGATGTTTCTCTCCTTCCCTTTCTCTAAACATCTATTCAAATCTTTTTTTAAAAGGCTGCTTTGAAAACTCTGGGGACTTTTTTAACCTCTGTAATGATGAACCTGTTGTTCTCAGGTGATCTGCCCACTGACGCTAGAAAACTCTGTCTACGCCAGAGACGCGATGGCGAAGGCCGTCTATGGGCGCACATTCACGTGGCTGGTGAACAAAATCAACTCCTCCTTAGTGAACAAGGTCAGTCCCCACGGGTTGGATGGCTTGTTCTCACGAACATGGTGATGTTTTATAATTTACATCGTTGCTCGGCTGGCATGGCTCGGTGGTTGAGCGTCGACCTATGAACCAGGAGGTCATGGTTTGATTCCTGGTCAGGGCACATGCCCAGGTTGTGGGCTCGATTCCCAGTGTGGGGCGTGCAGGAGGCAGCTGAACAATGATTCTCTCTCATCATTGATATTTCTATCTCTCTCCCTCTCCCTTCCTGTCTGAAATCAATAAAAAATATTTAAAAAATAATTTACACTGTTACTCTAAACAATTTTTAAGAATTAACCGTAAGCTCCTGATGGGTAGGGACAGTATCTCCTCACACCTACATTCCCAGCACCGAGCACACAGTAGGCTCCCTGAAGTGCCTGCTGAATGAGTCTCCCAGTGTGTCCCAAAGCACGGGACGCAGAGCATATGAAGCATGCCAGATGCTTGAAGTATATACAGAAACGTTTAATCTCAACAGTAGCATATTTAGTGTGTATCAGAAAAAAATACGACGACTCCTTTGAACTCACCCACTGATCACATTTCCTTTTTAAGTGGAATTTAAATGAAAAGGGGATTTACTCAAAGCTAGAAATGAAGGAAATGATACGCGAAGTCAAGGTATGTGGATGTGGTGGAACTCATGGAGGTTAAGGCTGTGAAGGGCAGATTTGGGAGACATCAGCTTGGTATAGGCCTACCTCAGAGAGACTGCAGGCTTATTTTAGACCGCAGTAAAGCGAGTATTGTGATAAAGCCAGTCATATCTCTTTGCTGGTGGAGGGTCTTTCCTTCAATTTGTAACAACGCAACATCTGGGAAGTGCAGTAAAGCTAGGCACGATAACCTGAAGTGTGCCTGCACACCATTCAGAATGTTCAATTGTGTCCCTAAAAAATAGGCATGTTCTCTCTCAATATCCATCCTTGCCCAATAGCACTTGGCCTCTACTTAAAATGACATCTGTACCACCTGTCGTTTCCCTGGATAGATGTCACCTTGGTTGTCTGTCTATAACAGTGATGGCGAACCTATGACACGCGTGTCAGGGGTGACACGCGAACTCATTTTTTTGGTTGATTTTTCTTTGTTAAATGGCATTCCCTCTCCCTTCCTCTCTGAAATCAAATATATATATAAAATAAAATGACATCTGTACCACCTGTCTTTTCCCTGGATAGATGTCTCCTTGGCTGTCTGTCTGTAAGGCTCCCTCCTTCCCTCCCTCCCCTTTTCCCTTCCAGATCAAATGTGGGCTTGGGAGTCAAGTTGGAGAGGGTTAAGCAAGACAGTGAATCGGGAGGGGAGGCGTCCCTGCTCGGGTGATGGGTGGGAATTGGTTGCGAAGTGGACAGGCTGCGGGCAGGAGTGAGCTGGGAAAGTGTTTCCACCCGGAGCTGCTTCTGGGAGCCACTGGTGGAGAGAGAAGGCGTGAGCTTTGTGGCCACAGCCCCGCTTTGGGGGCAGCCACTGGGATTTGAGCGTCTCGGCGTGAAACGCCTAAAGATGAACGGCGTGCTCTCTTGACTAGGAGTTCACCAAGAAAACCGTGATCGGGTTGCTGGACATCTACGGGTTCGAAGTCTTCGACAAGAACGGGTGAGGCCCTTGGTGCATCTTTCAGGTCTGAGTCTGGCTTCAGGCCTTGCTAATGTGATGGGAGTTGATTTCCTCGTTCCCAGAAATTCTCCAGATTTGCATAGACTGGCGGTTCTAGCAGTAGAATAACCATGGAAAAGGGAATTGTCTTCCAGCTCGACTGTTGTGGTCTGCTCACTAGAGTATTTGATTAATAAGGATTTTGATCTTTCTGTATTAGAAAGCATCCTTAAAAATAAGGGAATACAGTAAAACTGAAAGCAACTGATGAATGAACAAAACCAACAAAGAAACTTATGGACACAGGCAACAGTGTGGTTGTTACTAGAGGGGAAAGGGGCGAGCGGGCGGGAGGTGGGGGGAGATGAAGAGGGAAAAGAGCAGCAAATATATGGTGACCGAAGGAGACTAGACTTTGGGGGGTGAGCACACAATGCAATACACAGATGATATGTTATATATTGTACACTTGAAACATATAATTATGAACCAGTGTTACTCCTATAAATTTAACTTTTTTTTAAAAAAGTAAATACAACTTAAAAAAAAATTGGCCTACGTGCATAGCTTTAGTTTTTAAACCTTTTGCATCTCTAGTTTTGAACAGTTCTGTATAAACTACTGCAACGAGAAGCTCCAGCAGCTCTTAATCGAGAGAACGCTAAAGGCGGAACAGGCAGAATATGAAATGGAAGGGATAGAGGTAAACGTCTTGGTGTTTTCTTCCCATTTGATAACCTCGTGAGAGGCATTTCCTTGAGAAATAGGATTTCATTGGCGATTTTCCCTGATTAGTACTGAGAATTATTCTGTACTCCTGCTCTGCCCATTTCCTGGGACATTATTTTGATATTCAGAAAGGATTATTATTTTTTAATGTTACAGATACAAATCGGATTTTTGAAAAAATGTCGGAAAAGCCGTTTAAAAGAAATACATCTGCTCATCTAAATCCTCCATGGAGAACTCTCTCCTCTTTGTCATTTCAGTGGGAGCCGATTCAGTATTTCAACAACAAGATCATCTGTGACTTGGTTGAAGAAAGACACAAAGGCATCATCTCCATCCTGGTGAGACAATTACCGTTGACTTAGAGCTCATTCACCCGGTGTTTACAACGCATGCAAGGACTTGCATCCTCTTGAAATGGGTACAGCGAGAACAGCACTTACCTCTGAGACGAGTTGGAAGGACACATTTAGTGAGATGATGTAGGCAGAGGGCTCAGAGCCATGCCTGTTCCATGGTGAGCATTCAGGCTTCATTCATTCATTCATTCATTCATTCATTCGACAAACACTCATCGGACGCTTGCTTTGTGCCAGGATTGTGCCCTGTGCTTTGGGACACAGCAGTGGAAAACCAGTGGAGGCTTTGGATTCTGGCAGGGAGAGACTGACAACAAACAGGTTAATGGGCAGCATGTGTAGACTGTGCAATGGAGAAAAAGGACGAGATGAGATGTGCTGGGGAGGGCAGCTCCATTTTAGATCATTGGTGGTTCAGGAAGGACTCACCGAGAAGGTGACATCTGAGCAAAGACCCGAAGGAGGTGAGGGCACCAGCCTTGGGGACATCCGGGGAAGCACGGGCTGACGTACGCGAGTGTCTGTACATTCAGTGCTCAGAGGGATTGCTAGACCAGTATGTTAAGGTATTTGAGGCCCTAGCCAGTTTGGCTCAGTGGATAGAGTGTCGACCCGTGGACCGAAGAGTCCTGGGTTCGATTCTGGTCACGGGCTTGTACCTCAGTTGCAGGCTCAATGCCCAGCCGGGTCAGGCATGTGCTGGAGGCGACCAGTTGATGCGTCTCTCTCATTGATGTTTCTCTCTTTCTGAAGGTATTTGAGGCCCTAGCCAGTTTGGCTCAGTGGATAGTGTCGACCCGTGGACTGAAGAGTCCTGGGTTCGATTCTGGTCACAGGCATGTACCTCAGTTGCAGGCTCAATGCCAAGCCCGGTCTGGGCATGTATTGGAGGCGACCAGTTGATGCGTCTCTCTCATCGATGTTTCTCTCTTTCTGAATCTCCCCCTCCCTTCCATTCTCTCTAAAAATCAATGGAAAAAAAAATATCCTCAGGTGAGGATTAACGACAAAAGATATTTTATTAAAAAGTACTTAATCCCATTGGTTCTCCATAAATGAGATCAGCATAAAAATGCTACTTAATGAGAGTTGTCTCGCCAACCTTAACCAGGTTTTTTTTGTTGTTACTGTTGTTTTAATAGAAGCTACATGGTCGATTCATCTTTAATTTTTTTAAAACTGTTATTTATTTTTTAGAGAGAGAGAGAGAGGAAGGGAGAGGGGTAAAGAGATAGAAACATCAATGAGAGAGGAATGTCATCCATCAGCTGCCTCCTCCACGTCCCCTACTGGGGATGGAGCCTGCAACCTGGGCATGTGCCCTGACTGGGGATTGAACCGGCAACCTCTTGGCTTCTGGGTTGACTCTCAACTGCTGAGCCACACCAGCCAGGCTCATCTTTATTTTTTTAAAGATGGTCAGTGAAATGTTATCGCTGTGGAGGACCCAGAATAGAAAACAGAAAGGCAGAGCTCGAGAAATAGGAGACATTAGGCCCAAGTGGTTTATAGTTTGCTTCCCATGAGGCTTTGCTCCCAGTAAAGGGGGATCTGTATGTTCCTTGCCAGAGATGCGTAGTTAAGAAAAAAAAATGAGGTTGCATGTGTAAGCAAGCTGGGCATGGAAGCTGTGGGGTGTCCTGGGAAGACTTTGGGGATACGCCTCAGCTTGGGGGGTGGCAGAGCTGCTTTCTCATGAATTTCCAGTCTCTCTGGTTCCGTGGTTCTCTTGAAAAAAAAAAAATCTGAGAACAGGTGATGGGTTAGGCCCCCTCCCCGGAAACGTTCCCCTGGACTTGAATGAGATGACCGCATGTGAGTGCAGGACATTGCCAGAGCTGGTGAGCGTGTTTAAACTTGGACGTGGTGGAGTGTGTTGCTGTGGCTCAAGGCTTCTCTTCTTCGTTTGAAGGATGAAGAATGTATCCGCCCTGGTCCTGCTTCTGACTTGAGTTTCCTGGAGAAGTTGGAAGAGAAAGTGGGGAAGCATGCGCACTTCCAAACGTAGGTATTGCATGTGATGAGCTGTTGCATCATTGCAGGGCATATCCATTTTCTTGGGGAGGTGGGCGGTGCTCCCCAAAAGTACAGCTACGTCTTCGTAGTAGAAATCCCGTTAGGATGCACCCAGTCATATTCAGCAGGCCTTCAGGTAACGTTTGAGAGAGGAAGGGAGAGGGGTAAAGAGATAGAAACATCAATGAGAGAGGAATGTCATCCATCAGCTGCCTCCTCCACGTCCCCTACTGGGGATGGAGCCTGCAACCTGGGCATGTGCCCTGACTGGGGATTGAACCGGCAACCTCTTGGCTTCTGGGTTGACTCTCAACTGCTGAGCCACACCAGCCAGGCTCATCTTTATTTTTTTAAAGATGGTCAGTGAAATGTTATCGCTGTGGAGGACCCAGAATAGAAAACAGAAAGGCAGAGCTCGAGAAATAGGAGACATTAGGCCCAAGTGGTTTATAGTTTGCTTCCCATGAGGCTTTGCTCCCAGTAAAGGGGGATCTGTATGTTCCTTGCCAGAGATGCGTAGTTAAGAAAAAAAAATGAGGCTGCGTGTGTAAGCAAGCTGGGCATGGAAGCTGTGGGGTGTCCTGGGAAGACTTTGGGGATACGCCTCAGCTTGGGGGGTGGCAGAGCTGCTTTCTCATGAATTTCCAGTCTCTCTGGTTCCGTGGTTCTCTTGAAAAAAAAAAAATCTGAGAACAGGTGATGGGTTAGGCCCCCTCCCCGGAAACGTTCCCCTGGACTTGAATGAGATGACCGCATGTGAGTGCAGGACATTGCCAGAGCTGGTGAGCGTGTTTAAACTTGGACGTGGTGGAGTGTGTTGCTGTGGCTCAAGGCTTCTCTTCTTCGTTTGAAGGATGAAGAATGTATCCGCCCTGGTCCTGCTTCTGACAGTTTCCTGGTGGAGAAGTTGGAAGAGAAAGTGGGGAAGCATGCGCACTTCCAAACGTAGGTATTGCATGTGATGAGCTGTTGCATCGTTGCAGGGCATCTCCATTTTCTTGGGGAGGTGGGCGGTGCTCCCCAAGAGTACGGCTACGTCTTCATAGTAGAAATCTCGTTAGGATGCACCCAGTCATATTCAGCAGGCCCTCGGGTAACGTTGTTTCATTATAAGGTTGATGAGATGCCGTAGGAACTTGACTCTTACTTACATCAAACAGCTTATGGTAAACGTGGTTTTATTATATGTTGTTTTGCCACTGTTCCAAGAACATATTGACTATGTTTAGGACTTACTGTATATGCATCCTTTTTGTTAGTAAAAAAATCAAACTCGAATTCCATGTCAAAAAATTTTTAATTGATTTTAGAGAGGAAAGGAGGGGGGGGGAGAGAGAGAAACATCAAGGCTCCCTCCCCTCCTCCCCTCCTCCCCCAGAGGGTGCCTCACCGCGGGCTCCCTCCCCTCCTCCCCCAGAAGGTGCACTCACTGCGGGCTCCCTCCCCTCCTCCCCTCCTCCCCCAGAGGGTGCCTCACCGCGGGCTCCCTCCCCTCCTCCCCCAGAAGGTGCACTCACTGCGGGCTCCCTCCCCTCCTCCCCTCCTCCCCCAGAGGGTGCCTCACCGCGGGCTCCCTCCCCTCCTCCCCCAGAAGGTGCACTCACTGCGGGCTCCCTCCCCTCCTCCCCTCCTCCCCCAGAGGGTGCCTCACCGCGGGCTCCCTCCCCTCCTCCCCCAGAAGGTGCACTCACTGCGGGCTCCCTCCCCTCCTCCCCTCCTCCCCCAGAGGGTGCCTCACCGCGGGCTCCCTCCCCTCCTCCCCCAGAAGGTGCACTCACTGCGGGCTCCCTCCCCTCCTCCCCTCCTCCCCCAGAGGGTGCCTCACCGCGGGCTCCCTCCCCTCCTCCCCCAGAAGGTGCACTCACTGCGGGCTCCCTCCCCTCCTCCCCTCCTCCCCCAGAGGGTGCCTCACCGCGGGCTCCCTCCCCTCCTCCCCCAGAAGGTGCACTCACTGCGGGCTCCCTCCCCTCCTCCCCTCCTCCCCCAGAGGGTGCCTCACCGCGGGCTCCCTCCCCTCCTCCCCCAGAAGGTGCACTCACTGCGGGCTCCCTCCCCTCCTCCCCTCCTCCCCCAGAGGGTGCCTCACCGCGGGCTCCCTCCCCTCCTCCCCCAGAAGGTGCACTCACTGCGGGCTCCCTCCCCTCCTCCCCTCCTCCCCCAGAGGGTGCCTCACCGCGGGCTCCCTCCCCTCCTCCCCCAGAAGGTGCACTCACTGCGGGCTCCCTCCCCTCCTCCCCTCCTCCCCCAGAGGGTGCCTCACCGCGGGCTCCCTCCCCTCCTCCCCCAGAAGGTGCACTCACTGCGGGCTCCCTCCCCTCCTCCCCTCCTCCCCCAGAGGGTGCCTCACCGCGGGCTCCCTCCCCTCCTCCCCCAGAAGGTGCACTCACTGCGGGCTCCCTCCCCTCCTCCCCTCCTCCCCCAGAGGGTGCCTCACCGCGGGCTCCCTCCCCTCCTCCCCCAGAAGGTGCACTCACTGCGGGCTCCCTCCCCTCCTCCCCTCCTCCCCCAGAGGGTGCCTCACCGCGGGCTCCCTCCCCTCCTCCCCCAGAAGGTGCACTCACTGCGGGCTCCCTCCCCTCCTCCCCTCCTCCCCCAGAGGGTGCCTCACCGCGGGCTCCCTCCCCTCCTCCCCCAGAAGGTGCACTCACTGCGGGCTCCCTCCCCTCCTCCCCTCCTCCCCCAGAGGGTGCCTCACCGCGGGCTCCCTCCCCTCCTCCCCCAGAAGGTGCACTCACTGCGGGCTCCCTCCCCTCCTCCCCTCCTCCCCCAGAGGGTGCCTCACCGCGGGCTCCCTCCCCTCCTCCCCCAGAAGGTGCACTCACTGCGGGCTCCCTCCCCTCCTCCCCTCCTCCCCCAGAGGGTGCCTCACCGCGGGCTCCCTCCCCTCCTCCCCCAGAAGGTGCACTCACTGCGGGCTCCCTCCCCTCCTCCCCTCCTCCCCCAGAGGGTGCCTCACCGCGGGCTCCCTCCCCTCCTCCCCCAGAAGGTGCACTCACTGCGGGCTCCCTCCCCTCCTCCCCTCCTCCCCCAGAGGGTGCCTCACCGCGGGCTCCCTCCCCTCCTCCCCCAGAAGGTGCACTCACTGCGGGCTCCCTCCCCTCCTCCCCTCCTCCCCCAGAGGGTGCCTCACCGCGGGCTCCCTCCCCTCCTCCCCCAGAAGGTGCACTCACTGCGGGCTCCCTCCCCTCCTCCCCTCCTCCCCCAGAGGGTGCCTCACCGCGGGCTCCCTCCCCTCCTCCCCCAGAAGGTGCACTCACTGCGGGCTCCCTCCCCTCCTCCCCTCCTCCCCCAGAGGGTGCACTCGCCTCGGGCTCCCTCCCCTCCTCCCCCAGAGGGTGCACTCGCCTCGGGCTCCCTCCCCTCCTCCCCCAGAGGGTGCACTCGCCTCGGGCTCCCTCCCCTCCTCCCCCAGAGGGTGCACTCGCCTCGGGCTCCCTCCCCTCCTCCCCCAGAGGGTGCACTCGCCTCGGGCTCCCTCCCCTCCTCCCCCAGAGGGTGCACTCGCCTCGGGCTCCCTCCCCTCCTCCCCCAGAGGGTGCACTCGCCTCGGGCTCCCTCCCCTCCTCCCCCAGAGGGTGCACTCGCCTCGGGCTCCCTCCCCTCCTCCCCCAGAGGGTGCACTCGCCTCGGGCTCCCTCCCCTCCTCCCCCAGAGGGTGCACTCGCCTCGGGCTCCCTCCCCTCCTCCCCCAGAGGGTGCACTCGCCTCGGGCTCCCTCCCCTCCTCCCCCAGAGGGTGCACTCGCCTCGGGCTCCCTCCCCTCCTCCCCCAGAGGGTGCACTCGCCTCGGGCTCCCTCCCCTCCTCCCCCAGAGGGTGCACTCGCCTCGGGCTCCCTACCCTCCGTAAGCCCTCCCCTTGTCCTGGAACTCTCACCCTCCAGCGGGTTCTATTAGATACATATTTCCCAGGTGAGCACCCAGGGTGGTCGCTGGCAGACGTGCACTGAGCACCCGCTGAGTCAGGCCCTGGGCTGGGCCCGGGATTTGCAAGAACAAAGCAGACAAGGTCCCTGAGCTCATGGGCTCACGATCTAGTGGGGACGGTGTGGGAAAATGACATCAAACGAAGAACTTGGTAGTGTGAGTGCCATAAAGGAAGCTTGGTGACAAGGAAGCGGGAACGAGGGGGTGGTGATGGGCTTGGCAGCGATGCTGGCTCCTGCGAGGCACTAACTGCATCCGTGCTGAGTGAGTGAGGCATTCTGGGTAGGTGCTTGTCTAGCCTCTGCTCAGCCACACTGACCTTGGGCTTCTCAGGCCAGGACATCCAAATCCTCTCTCTCTCTCCTTTTTGTTTGTTAAGCCTCACCCGAGAATATTTTTCCCATTGCTTTTCAAAGAGAGAATGAGAGAGAGAGAGAGAGAGAGAGAGAGAGAGAGAGGGGGAGGGAGGGAGAGAGAGAGAGAGAGAGAACATCGATGTGAGAGACGGCCAGGGGTGGTGAGTGAACCTGCAACCCTTTGGTGCATGGGCTGATGCGCTGACCACTGAGCGACACCGGCCAGGGCCACATCCTTTTTAATGGGCAGAATGGTAACAGGTGGGACAATTTGTGGAGAGTGTGGGACTCAAAGGGCTTCTCAGGCCAGGGCAGCCAAAGCCTCCTCTTAATGGGTGAGAATGTGACAACAATCTGTCTTGAGAGCTGGGGTCTCAAGGGCCAGCGTCTTATGCCCTAACCCTGTTCTGGGTGTTAACTGGGAGGGGCACTGTCTCCTCAGCGCATTCCCTCTCCCTGCAGGTGGGGACTCAGTTCAAGACCAGCCTGAGCAGCCTTCTGGAAATCCTCATCTCCAAGGAGCCCTCCTACATCCGCTGCATCAAGCCCAACGAGAGGAAGGAACCCAGTGAGTTGTGAATGGCTCTGAACCCCGAGCTCGGGGAAATGAGGCTGGGAGGGGCCGAGATGGAATGCAGTTAAAACCCTCACCACCACCAACGGGCTTGTCCTTGTCCTCTGGGCATGAGTTCTTTTCATTTGTAATAATAGGAGGTAGCCCTAGCCTGTTCGGCTTGGACTGAAGGATCCCGGGTTCGATTCTGGTCAAGGGCACATGCCCGGTTTGTGGCCTTGATCCCCAGTAGGGGGCCTGTAGGAGGCAGCTGATCAATGATTCTCTCTCCCTTTCTGGAATCAATAAAAAGATCCTATATAATAAAGAGCTAATATGCTAATTAGACCGAACAGCAGAGTCCCTGACGACCTTCTGGACGAAGCCGGGGCTGCGAGGGCCAAGCCCCTTGCATGAATTTCGTGCATTGGGCCTCTAGTATTAAAATAAAATAATAGAAGGTAAACAGGGTGGGGGTGTGTGGTCCTGAGTGAGCATTGCTCAGACTTCGGCTCAACTCGGCTGAGCCAGGCAGGCGCCAGAGGGGAGGGGAAGCAATGTTGCTTCTCTCCAGCCAGTGAACAATCTTACAAAGCGGTCTCTGACTTGGCTATTCTCTAAACCCCCGCCATGATCTGTAACAGAGTCACACAGTCAAAGGCTTGCAGAGGCCGGGCAGGAAGAAAATGAGTGAAGCAGCCTGGGCATAAGGCAATAGGGAGTGGGGGGGGGGGGGGGGGGGGGGGGGACTGCGGCAAACTGGAGAGGGCACACCCCGTTGAAAAGGGCAGCACGACTCCCTTCCAGCTGCCGTTGTCTTGTGGGACTCTAGACCTAGAATAGCCAGACCTCAGGGGTGTGTTTTTTTTTAAAGAGACAACAGAAATCCAGATTTCCTTGTAAAGTTCCCCCATGAAATAACACTCATGTTGTCTTCGGGCCTAAGAAAGTACGTGTGTGGCTAGATCCAGCTCCCAGGCCATCAGCTCGCAGGCTCGCCTCTGGTCTCTGTTGGTTGAAATGGAGCCATGGGGTCCTTGACTGTCGCTCCCTCTTCTGTGTTTTCCAAGGCAAGTTTGATGACTTCCTCATCAGGCATCAGATCAAGTACCTGGGGCTGATGGAACACCTGCGGGTGAGGCGGGCCGGCTTTGCGTACCGGCGGAAGTATGAGCATTTCTTGCAAAGGTGAAGTTTGCTTTGTTGACCTGAACCTAGAGTAGTCCCTTGTTATCCATGTAAGGGGCGGAGGGGGGAGGGTATGTTCCAAGACCCCCAGTGGATGCCTGCAACCGCAGATAGTACCGAACCCTATAGATACGTTCTTTCCTAGACATACAACCTCTGATAAAGTTTAATTTATAAATCAGGCAAAGAGAGTAGCAACAATAATAAAATAGAACAATTGGAGCAATAGACATAAGAAAAGTTACGTGAGTCTGGTCTCTCTCAACATATCTTATTATATTGTACTCATCTTGTGATGATGTGAGACGCTAAATTGCCTTAAGTTGAGAACTTCCACCTTTTCACTTACACGAAGCCCTCTGTGGCTTCTCTTCGGCTTGTCTGAATTGCCGTCAACCCTGCTCTTGTGCTTTGGGGCCGTTATTACGTAAAATACGTGTGACTTGAACACAAGCGCTGCGACACTGTGCCGGTGATGTGATGGCTCAGGGCTGCTATGTGACTGACGGGCAGGGAGCGTATACAGCGTGCAGACGCTGGGCAAAGGGACGAGTCGTGTCCCTGGTGGGACAGAGCGGGACGGTGCCATGATTACTAATCACTATTCAGAATTGCATGCAGTGTGACACTTGTGAACTGCTCGTTTCTGGAATTTGCCATTTACTGTTTGTGGACTGAAGTTGACCGCGGGTAACTGAAACCGTGGAAAGTGAAGCCACGGGGGAGGGGTACTGTGGTGAGGTGAGTTTCCGGATGAGGCGGAGACTCCACCACCATCGCTCAGGGACCTCCGTTTGGTTCTTCCGGCTGTGAGGCTGTGACGGTGATAAACACAAATATTTCCAAGAACAGAGAGCCAACTCAGTTCACCGGCGTCCCTTCGTTTCACTAAGACCCCAACTTGTGGGAATGGAAGCAGCACAAGGCCAAATGCATAGACCTGCCACCAGGGGGCAGGCATGGGTCGTGCGCCGCTTGGGTCTTGACAGGTGCTGGGTTAGCGCTGTCAGTGTTGGGCTGATCCCCTCCGCCTACTGGGCTGTCAAGAGAAGAGGGTGTAGTGGGAATGCAGGCATAGGAGCCGCACAGAATTGGGTGGGGGCCGGGGGGGGGGGATCCCCATACACATGGAGTCGTAAAATAGGTGGACTTGTGTGTCTGGCTTTTTTCACTCGGCATAATGTTTTCAAGATTCATCCATGTCCTAACGTGGATCATAATTCATTCCTTTTTACGGCTGAATGATACTGCATTGTGTGGCTAGGCCACCGTGTATGTATCTACTCATCCGCTGACGGACACTTGGGTGGCTCCCTCTCTCGGGCTGTGATGACAATGCTGCTAGGGCCATGCATGGGCACGTTTCTGTGTGGATACATGTTTTCATTTCTTTTTTTAAAAAATATTTTTATTGATTTCAGAGAGGAAGGGAGAGGGAGAGATAGAAACATCAATGATGAGAGAGAATCATTGATTGGCTGCCTCCTGCACGCTCCCCACCGGGGATCGAGCCCGCAACACAGGCATATGCCCTTGACCGGAATCGAATCTGGGACTTTTCAGTTCATAGGCCGACGCTCTATCCACTGAGCCAAACCGGCTAGAGCAGTTTTCATTTCTTTAGGCATATACTTAGGAGTAAGTTACTGGGTCAGATGATAACTCAGTGTTCAACTGAGGAACTGCCAGACTATTTACCAGGTGGTGTTGTGTGTATTTTTTTTTGATGTACCCTCTGCAAAAATCTGAAAAATGGGTGTACACCATTTTTGCTCAGCAGCTATTCATTCACCCTTATCTCATTCATTTTTCCCCTTTTCGTGAAGATGGCAGGAAGTAGCAGCCACTGCCTGCCCCATCCCCCTACACACACATGACGCTCCCATCTTCCTGCATTTTTTGAACTTCATACATCTTTTTCCTACTTTGTTGCTGTCTGGGGCTTGTTTATTCTTTCCATAAACACCAGCGAGCACCTGCCGGTACCAGCGCTGTCCGAGAACCAGACAGGCCCACCCCTGCCACATGGCGTTCACCCTCCAGTGGGAGAGGCTGCCGATAACACATTATCTTCTCATCTGTCTGCTGATGGACATTTGTGTGTCTTACCTTTTGTCTATTCTGAATAATGACGCTATGAACACTGGTATATAAGCTTTTGCGTGGACATGTTTTCCTGTCTCTTGCTTATACAGGGTGGGACAAAAGAAGGCTTACAGTTGTTCACATGGAAAATAATACAATATTTAATAAGTAATAACACAATAATAAACTGTTTCACATACTGACAACTGTAAACCTTTGGCCCCGCCCTGGATACCTAGGAGTGGAATTGAGTTTCTTGAGGTGTCTGATGATGTCATTGTTTTATGAAGACAGGCCCCAAACCTCCCACCCGATTGAAGTAGTTCCTCTTTTTTCTTTTTTTGGCCAAGTGTATATTGTTGCATTCAAAGCATCTGAATTCAAGCAAGGAATGAGTCTATTACAGCACGCGGGCGGCTGGCATGCGACCCTGGTGGGCGGATGGTGTAAGGTCAGGGTGTGCCTCTCTCCCCAGGTACAAGTCCCTGTGCCCAGACACCTGGCCGCACTGGCGCGGGCCTCCGGCAGAGGGCGTAGAGCGGCTGATCAAATACATCGGCTACAAACCGGAAGAGTACAAGCTGGGGAGGTGAGTGGCTGGAAGTCACTGTCAGATGTTTCGGGCATTGATCCACATCCATCTGGAGCCCAGAGAGTCATTTTTCAGGAAATGACGTAGACGTTTAAGCAGATACCTCCATCCACTGCATTTAAATGCAGCTCTTAAAGCAGAACCCTCTCCTGTGTGTCTCCTCCACGCGCAGTGGTTGGCTCACTCGGAACAGTCCACGCCTCGGACTCCAGCTGGGCGTCCTACGATTTCACTCAATCCTGACACTGCCGACCTGGAGAGAGTGGCAGACCCCACAGGGAATGGCCCAGCCCTACAAGACAGCTCCTTCCCCACAGCAGATGCCTGTCCCGTGTCCAGGTTGTCACCTGGGCTTCTGACCGACCGGCTATAAACGGGAGGTTCCCACAAGCCCCTCCTGGGGTTTGAATGATTCGTTAGAGCAGGAAAACATTCTACTGCAGGTTAGGATGGTGTGTTAGCTTCCTGGGCTGCATAGAACGTTAGCACAAACTAGCTGGCTTCAACCAAGAGAAATTCATTCTCTCTCATTTCGAGACGCTAGAAGTCCAAACTCCAGCTGTTGGCAGGCTTTTTGGGGATCCCTCCTTGCTGCTTCCAGTGGCTCCTGACATTCCTTGGCTTGTGGCCACATCACTCTAGTCTCCGCCTCCGTTTTCACATGGCCTTCTTCCCTGTGTGTGTGCGTTTTTCTGTCTCTTATAAGGACACGCTTGGATTTAGGGTCCCCCTTCCCCCTATGATCTGACCTGGAGCCTTACCCTTGATTACATCTGCAAAGATCATATTTCCAAATAAGAATCTTACATTCTGAGGTTCTGAGTGGACCTGATTTTGGGGGGACCACTATGCGACCCACTACAGATGGTAGCTGACCAATTAATCATTAAAACACCTTTGTTTCCACTTCTAGAACCAAGATATTCATTCGCTTCCCCAGAACTCTGTTTGCCACGGAAGATGCTTTTGAATTTAGTAAACATCAGTTGGGTATGATTTTTATTTTTTTTCTGTCCTGACTTCCATAGACTGTGAAAGGACAAGCTTAGCTTGGGCTACATCTTCAACATGGTGTTTGATATGTTAGAAGCATTGGCTTTGAGAAGCAGGAACAAGATAGTGCCCTGGCCGGGTGGTTCAGCTGATTGGAGTGTTGTCCCGGGCACCAAAAGGTGGTGGGCTCGATTCCCGGTCAAGGTGCATCACTGGGATCTGGTTAATGGGCAGGTGCTGGCTGTGGCGGGGGTGGGGGGGGATGGGCTTGAACCAGCTCCCAGGGGATGTGACATTCATGTTTTCAGGGCCCTCAAGGAGCTGGGCCTGTGTGGGACCTGTCAGTGGGAGGAGGAGGTAGATGGAGAAAGGAGAAGCTCCAGGGGGCGGGTGTGTGGTCTGGCAGCCCTGGGGTCACACACACACCCCCGCCCCCAACCTTAGCTGCACACGTTGCCTTGCAAGTTTCCTCACCACCTGACCTGCAGGCCCATTAGTCACATGTGCTGCTGCTGGTGCAGGGTGGGGAGTGAGGGTGGGGAGTGAGGGTGGGCTGTAATGCCCACCATGGAACCAGGCCCTCCTGATGGTGGCTCTGGGCCTTACCCTGGGGGAAGGCAAGAGGAAGGATGAGAAAGCTCCGGAGAGCCAGGCTGAGTGTGACCTGCTGACGCGGCTTCCTCGTCCCCTCTGCACCGCAAGCCCCAAGGGTCACTTCTGACATCCCCTCAAGGTCACAACTACAGCGAGGCACACGTGAAAGTCATTCCACCCAAACTTTTGTTTTATTTTAAGTGGCGAGGATTCAAGCCACGTACAAAGCCTGCCTGGAAAGAAGAGTGTATGTGAAAAAAAGACAAGCAGGTAAGGGTTACCCAGAAACTTTCCAGTTGGCCATGGGCCCAGCGATTTCTCATCTCCTACCCCCGCCCGGGCTCCTTTGCGCATCCTCCCCATCACTGCCCGTCCTTGAAACCTTGGTGTATATGTGTGTGTGTGTGTGGGGGGGGGCGGGGGGCGGCGCTCAGGGTCCAGTTCTGGGGCCTCTTCTCATTTTTCACTCATTTACCAGAAATGATGACATAGTGTTCTATGTTCCATGGACATATTTTATTTGATCCACAACATATGCATGTTTAAAGAATAACTTTTTGAAAAGGTTACGAACGTGAGTCCCTTTCCTGTCCCTCCCCACTCTTCTGAATTTTGCATTTATAATCCCCTTGGTTTGTAAAAAATACTACCATCTATGGACACACCACTCAATAATCCATGACCTCGTAGGTGGATGCCCAACCACTGAGCCACCCGGCCAGGGCTCTGTATCCCAATTTTAAAATGTAGACAACGAAAGCAGAGTAAACACGGCGAGACAAACCAAACCCCGTGGGAAGACACGTGTAAAGAGACATGAGCCCATGCTTGCCCCTGAAAAGGGCCCCGGGCAGCTCGGGTCCTCCCACAGGGCCCCGTGCTCCTCTGTCTCCCGGGTTCAGTGCCCCCTGAGCGTCCCCCAGGGAAGAACTGAGGGCGTTCACCCCACTTTCCATCTCCTGGACTAGCCGAGCGCCGTGGCGGGCGTGCCGATGGTTGTGGCCTGGGTGACTGATTCCGAAAAACCCTTTTGGATTCAATGAGATGGTGCTCGCCTCCTAACGGCAGCAGTGAACTCTTTCAGCCATCAAACTCGAAACCCACTGGCGTGGAGCCCTGGCCCGGAAGGAGGCCGAGAGGAGGAAGTGGGCTGTGCTGATTATAAGGAGGTAAGTTCTCGGGTGCGGGGGCATGGCAGGGGGTGGTGGTGGGCTTGGCTGGGTTTTTTGGATTTGTGCAGACGGGGAATCCTCCTTTTGGGATGTCACCCCTGAGGAATTCAGCTCTTTCCTCCGAGCACCCTGATTTGATGGTGCTGGCAACTTAGTCCATTTGTAGTTTTCTCTTAGTCTAGCTCAAGTCACTATGTCAAATGCCTTCTCACGCCAGGTGGGTACAGTAAGTGGGCCTCATGAGCTGGGAGAAGACAGTAAGGTATGGTGGGGACTGCGGCCAACTGGAATGTCGTTCCCTCTCAGATGACAGCTGCCAAGGAGAAATGCCAGGCAGATCTTTTGATTTTTCAGGAAAGTTGGAAATTTGGCTTTCATGTAATACCTCTCTTTGTTGTTGTTGTTGTTGTTGTTGGCAACTGATTCAAACTATTAAAAACAAAGAAAAAACAGTGTGGGTGAAGTGGGACAGACCTTTGGGGTAGATTGGGCCTGTGGGCGACATCACTGGCTTTGGCCTATGTAACCATCTAAATAATCGCTGCCCTGTGGCCTCTTCTGATCAAACGAGTGGAGAGAACCCACAACGCGGGGAAGAAATGGGTCAGAAAACGAACGTAACGCTGCCCAATTCAGGTTCATCAAGGGGTTCATCCATCGCGACAAGCCTCTTTGCCCCGACAATGAGGAGTTTGTCGTGTTCGTGCGCAAGAATTACATCTTGAATCTTCGCTATCACGTCCCGAAGAACGTCTTGGACAAGCGCTGGCTGAGGCCTCCTGGCATCTTGCAAAACGTAAGGACTCCTCTGGGACTCGTGTTGCAAGGGGCTTGGGCACCGACGGAGCTTTTGTGTTTGTATGTGGACCTCCCCGGGCTCGGAAGGGCTGCCTTAGCCAAGCACGTCCTTGCAAGGTGATGCACCAGAGGTTTCACTCCTGAGAACCCGTCACGTCCTCACTGGGAGCATAAAGCCATTGGAGGTGTGTTACACAGAGCACTTTTATTTTTTTAATATATATTTCTATTGATTTCAGGGAGGAAGGGAGAGTCACTGATTGCTGCCTCCTGCACACCCCACACTGGGGATCGAGCCCACAATCCAGGCATGTGCCCCAACTAGGAACTGAACCGTGACCTCCTGGTTCATAGATTAACGCTCAACCACTGAGCCCCGCTACCCAGGCTACAGAGCACTTTTATTTATTTTTTAAAATATATTTTATTGATTTTTTTACAGAGAAAGGAAGGGAGAGGGATAGAGAGTTAGAAACACTGATCAGCTGCCTCCAGCACACCCCCTACTGGGGATGTGCCCGCAACCAAGACCGGAATCGAACCTGGGACCCTTCAGTCCGCAGGCTGACGCTCTATCCACTGAGCCAAACCGGTTAGGGCTACAGAGCACTTTTAAATGGCGTCTGTTCTGGAGTAGCCTTCCAGGAGGGTTAGGTGACTGTCACCTACCACAGTGCCTCTCTGAAGGTGGCCCGAGGACCCTCTGTAGACGGTAAGGTTCTTGGGCTCCCACCTGGACCCACTGAGCCAGCATCCCTAGGAATCACACTTTCGACTGTCTCTCAAGTGCATTCAAGTTTAAGAACCACTAGCTTAGCAGCAGAGAAAAGGTAGCGTGAGATGATTAGCTGCTTTCTTGGACTGTAAGGTCTTAATGCTGCACTTTAAATCGAACTGAATTCAACTAGGTTTCCACAGCTGTTTTGGTGGCCACAGCCCGAGATGGGTGGGAAAAAAGGTGTGTTCCCCACAGGCATCGGATCTGCTCAGGAAAATGTGCGTGAGGAACCTGGTTCGGAAGTACTGCCGCGGGATCACAGCCGAGAGGAAAGCGCTG